TTTCTCCGATTACGATTACTCTGTGGAATGCGCAGAACATCACACAAAAAATACCTGAATTCCAGGACTTTTTAATTCGACATGAAGTGGATATCTGCCTTGTCACTGAAACGCATGCAAACTCGAAGCACAACATCAATATTGCAAATTACAACACCTATCGATGCGACAGAATTAGACACCGTGGTGGAGGTGTCGCCATCTATGTGAAAAGAACTCTTTGCTCAGGTTTATTATCTGCGGATAATACAAAAGCATTTGAAATCGTCAGTGTTAATGTGGTACTACCCAAAATCGGACATACTAAAATTTGTGCACTCTATAACCCACCGGATAACAGAATCTCAGCGCATGATTTACATTTTTACCTACAAGACTCAGCTCCCACAATCATTGGAGGAGACTTTAATTCAAAACATGTGGACTGGGGCTGCAATCATAGCAACGCAAATGGTCATACCATCAGAGACTATGTAGAAAATTATCCCATCTTCCTATACACACCCGAAGAGTCTACGTACCGCCCAAATACTCCTCGCAAAAGACCTGATATTCTCGATTTTTATCTCACAAATTTTAACATACCCCTTGCAATAGAAGTAACTCAAGAGCTGTCCTCAGATCATGTCCCCGTAATGGCAAGATTGGGATACAACAAGCCGGAAGATACAAAGAAAAAGAAAATTGTGGACTGGAAATTAATTCACAACCTCGCAATTACATCTCCCATAAACCTGGGTCCTCTAGAAACCACTACTGATATCGAGAAGGCTGCAAAAATCTTTACGAACTCTCTTCAGGATTTCCTTGCACTAGCAACTACAGAAAAGATGCATTCCTATCATTACGGCGCCCTACCCATGCATATCCGTGAATTAATCAAGCAACGGAACAGAACCCGCAAACTTTACAATCATACCTGGGATCCTACCTTAAAACCACTAATTAATAGACTCACCAGAAAAATTAAATCTAGTATCCAGCAGCATCGAAATGAATCTTGGAATTTAAAAATAGAAAACTTAAATATTGAAGACGGCTCATTCTGGAAGTTACATCCGTAAACGAAAAAAACCCAGCGATCAACACTCCTCCTATCAGAACTCAATCTGACATTGCCTACACCAATGAGGAAAAAGCAGCAGCTTTTGCTGACCACCTGACTCAGCAATTCACACCCAACGACTTCCCTGCGGACCAAACCAGCATTGCCGCCATTACTGACCACGTCAAAAACTGGCTTAGCGCGCCATTGGAACATACCGCTATTAAACTCACTACCCCAGGTGAAGTTAAAAATATTATCAAGAATTCAAGTAATAGAAAAGCTCCTGGACCTGATCAAATTTCAAATAAACTCCTAAAGCAGCTCCCGCACGGTGTCATCTGCAAATTAACATCCATCTACAACGCCTGCCTCACGAACTCTTATTTTCCGAATGTTTGGAAACACGCCTCGATCTTCCTAATTCCAAAACCCAAAAAAAAACCACCTGATAAACTTACTAGCTACCGGCCTATAAGTCTCCTGTCTACGCTGGGAAAGATTTTTGAGCGAATTATTTACAACCGACTGCAAAATCACCTTGACTTCATCCCAAAAGAACAACATGGGTTCAGGAAAGGACTCTCTACCACCCATCAACTGGTTCGTATCTCAGAATTCATAGGATCGGCACTCAGAAATAAACAAAGTATTGCTTTCCTCATGCTAGACGTGGCCAAAGCTTTTGACCGCGTCTGGCATGAAGGCCTCATCTATAAGCTCATACAGCTGCATATCCCGAGAGAACTCGTCCTCATCCTGAAGTCATTCCTCGAAAATCGTACTTTCTCAGTTAGACAAGGTGATTATCTTACTAATCCATATCCTATCCTGGGAGGGGTCGCCCAGGGTAGTATCTTAGGACCCATTATCTACATTATTTATGTTTATGATTTTCCTACCTTCCCAGAAGATTACAACTTTCAACTAGCCTGTTACGCGGATGACACCGCACTTATACAAAAGTCCAGAAAGCCTAACAACGCTCTCGTCCAACTCCAAAATAAAATGCAATCAGGTGGAAGGAATGGTGCAAGAAATGGAGAGTGAACATTAATGCGGACAAATCCCAAATTCTACTCATCCGGCGCTACAAGAAACTGGATAATATCTCCGCTACTGTAACTTCTATTTGGAAAAACCAATCCCGCTTGTAACCCAAGCTAAATATCTTGGAATCACCTTTAATCGAACTTTCACCTGGTCAACGCACATAAATATTACAAGGGGAAAAATCTTCGGAATCATGTGCAAGCTTTTTCACCTCCTAGCTGAATCTTCAGGTCTTAGCCTAAGAAGAAAGAATTTACACGGCGATCATACGACCCATTATAACTTACGCATCTCCAGTCTGGGCAAATGCCAAACCAAACCGAACGATTTTAAAAAGCTGCAAGTTATCCAAAACAAGTTTCTCAGGATTATCACAGGAGCTCCGTATTATATCAGAAATAAAAACCTGCACCGAGACTTAAAAATTGAATATGTGAAAACTTACATCAACAAGCTCAACGAAAATTTCTACAGAAAAGCAAATCAAAATAGCATAGCGGACTTTTCTAATATTTTGAATTATGAAATCATAGAGGATGATTATTACAATAGGCCCTTCACTGCCCACACCATTAATATGTTGAATTTGCACACCTAACTTAAGCAGCATCGACTAGGGTCATTTTCCGAGAGGGTGACCACCCACGTGACCAGCCTGAACATCTCAAAGTGCCTTGCTTCTATCCACCAGCGCTGCCTCCTGATTCGCCAGCCCCTGATCCCGGCTTTCCACCTCCGGACTTTGAATTTCTTTTAGCCCCCATCACCGCCACCAGAGGGCGACACACCTGACTGCTGTTTATTTTCTTCTTTTTCCTCCCGCTCGCATATTCACAGTGCATTGTGTAGCCACCGAGAGTGGCTTCTAGGATGGACCAAGGGCATCCAGTAATATTTCTGTCATGTCACATGACCTTCGCATGCTTTAGATTAAGCAAGATGGTCGAAAATATTTTGCACGCAAATTTCTGTACAACATAATTAAAGCATCGTTGATTTGTTCTGAAAATTTTCATTGCGAAGTTAGATCAAATATAAGCAATTGTGAAGGTTTCACTACCTGGTTGAAAGAGTTTGAAAAAAATATCAATGTGAAATATTACTTATTAAATGGTAAATAAGATAAAGAAAGAAATATCTGATAAACACCTGAGCCCAAATTCCATCTTTATATAAACCTATGCATATGAAAAAAATATTTACACCAATTATATATGTAAATAGAAGTCAGCACATTTTATTGAAGTCTATGTGAAAAAGATGTTCTATAATAGTAGCCAATACAGACTTTTGTTCAAAGTGAACTTTAATAATTTGCATTCGTATACATTTAGTGTATTAAATTTCACATTTAATAACTGCTTCACTCTTAAATGTACTGTCTACTCAAGAAATACTCATCAAAACAGAATGAATTTATCGTTATTCACAAAGAATATATTCGATTTATTTGTATATAACTTTTAACGTTACAATAGATATAATCAGGTCATACGGAATATCTATATTGAATCTTACACTTTCAGAATCAAAAGAATGCAAGCACTAAAAAAATAGTAAATTCATTGTAACACTTCCAGTCCTTCTCAGCTCAACAAACAAAATTATACACTTGAATTCTCTTAATTCACAGATATTAGTAAATGCATAATATTTGAGGCTAATTGTAGCTTGAGCCATTTTCTCGATATAAAGAACGATAATATACCGCGAACATCAATCCGAATATTCAGGGTGCGTGATAAAAATTCGCGAAAGTGAAATGTCAGCGATTAATTAAAATTCATAAAGCGAAAGCACTACGAGAATTTCTACTATTACACTCTACATTTATAACTGCGAAACAAATGCAAATTAAAACGTAAACAACATACGCTCATATGCACGAAGATTTAGCGTCACAAAAGCAATAGAATATCATTGGTCCATTTTTGAAACCCCTCCCTCAGTGGCTACGCTGATGTGCACTTGTGAAATATGCCTCCCGCTCACTGCTCCCTCCATGGGATTTATTCTGGCATTTTTCATCACCATGCCCATTGTGGAATTACATCAGGTTTACAGGAAAGTACTGCGAATGCAGTAGACCCCCTGTATAAATACTTCTGTATCAAAGTATCAAAGTGTTTCATTTTTATCTACTAATGGCATGCTATGCCGTGAAAAACACATTTGCTTTTGAATTCTTGTTTAAGATGCAGGAAAATATTGGATAAGTAGAAAGTTCCAAGCTAAAACAAACTTCTTTCTTCTGCACTATTTTTTTAAATACTTTTTTGTTACAAAATGCATTTTTTAAAACTTAGACATGATATTATAGAACCGTGTTATTTAATTAATGTTATGAAAATTTGTGTATAATTCCACAAAGCTGATAAAAATATCTAAATAAGGAATTCTAAAACAGTATTCTAACTTTTATACATTAAAACTGAAGGGATTTTGGGGGGGGGGGAGAATTCAATAATAGTAAATTCACAATTCGCCTTATCAAGCAAGTTAAGATTAATTTAAAATTCGTTTTTTAAACATTTAATTTAATTATTGTTCTACTGTTATTTAAATATTTCATTTAATAATCCTCCTATGAATGAAAATTGAAAAAGTCTTTCATATTTAATATTTAAAACACTCACCTCTAGTTTGGGAGATCGTCTTAGCTGAAATTAAAGGTATATATTACATATAGAAAACACAGATTTCATTATGAAAACAATAGCAGATTCTTATGAACTGGTTATTTAATGATAATACTGGATGACTGGTTATTAAGATAATCTCTGGAAATATTTGTTCCTTATATTACTATGAATTTATGTTTGTCTATTAATTACAATAATAAAATATAATTATAGAAAAATAACAATTTTTATGCTGTTAATCTTAAACTTAATATTTTTAGGATATGTCTTTTGAGTATGAGCAAAAAAAACAAGCTTATGACTCTTGTGCTTTAGGACTTGAAAGCAATATCTCAAAAATTGAACAGGTATCCTTAATTTCACTTCTTATAAAAATTCAATTTTGTTCACAAAATTATGTATTCAAGTAATAAAAGCAATTAATTGTAAATAATAAATTTAGGAAGTGAATAGCTACAAAGAAGAGATTGCTGAGGCTGAACATACCTATCACATGCTAAACACAAAAATTCAAATGCTCAAAATACAAAATGAGAGGGTAGCAGAAGAAATTAAATCTTATGTTTCCAGTGATTCATCAGAGAAAAAAAAATCTATCAGGTATAGTACAGTAGCTTTCTGTATTGGTTGATATGATTTAAATTTTTAATTTTTTTTAAAATCAAACATGAGAAATTAATTTGTGTTTTCTTAAATGTCAAATGACTTATATAACAAATATTTAAATGCATACATGCCACTTTCAGATGTTTATAACAATTTATTATTTCACCATTTTTTTTTTTTCTTATTTTATTCTTTCGAGTTTACTTTCTAGGTTTGTTTCTACTTTTTTCAGTTTATGTTATTTAAATTAATTTTGGTGGATTTATTACTAGATCTTAGTTTGTATTTTTTTTTTCATTAATCCAGTGAGACCTGCTACCTTTCAATTATTCTACATTTTATATAATTTTATCCTATGCCTTTTAACGTTTACAAGTCAGTCTGTTCTCTCAGGAATCTCTCTCCTTCCTTCATTCTTCTAAATCTTCATAAAGGATAGCTTGATACAGATGAAAACTCAAAATCTTTCATGCTTTGAGCAGTGTTATGAATGCTTCTATCACGAGCTTAAAAATAAAAGTTGTGGCAAATTTCTGACTGAGTAAATGCCAGATACTGTAAATGTCAGTATAGTATATTACATGTAAAGATGTGATCAAGTATGTACTTTGATTAGAAACTGAATAGCTGAGATCAAGTATATACTTTAATTGGAAAGTTAACTCATATACTTATGCCATGTGATATACTTCATAGTGACTGGTAGATGTTTATTTTACTAAAACTCTAGCAACAACAGTGCCTAACAGCTGTCACTATTATGACAAAATATTTAAAATTGATGGAGGTAGAATTTAGAAGTTGCAGAAAGCCTAGAGATAGACCTGATTATGCAAGATAGGTGCACACCCACATGTTGGATATTGCATTAGTCTTTTTTTTTTTCTTCTTCTTCTTCTTCTTCTTAGTTCCTACCTTGTTCACTGGATTTTAATTCTAGAATTTCTCAGCTTTGGTGCCAATTAAAGAACATTGCTTATTATGGGTATTTTGCAGCTTAGGCAGAACTAATGGCTGATATTAACAGGATATATAATGTATGATAAAGGGGATATAAAATGTATTATAAAGGACAGGTTGCAATCAAGCAGCTACTGAAGATGTTGTTCATCACCTTCAAACACATGGAAGTTCATAATAGAAAATATCGAGTAGATTCTTAAGAATATCCTGTATAGATATAAATGATACTGCATTATGTAAACTGTATATAGCATGCGGCACTTCATGCATATATTCAAAGCAGATTATGTTAGCTTTGCTAGCAGCTTTTCAAGTAACATTTCTTTTTCTGATTTCGTTCATAATGCTTGCAAATGT